CTCGGCTTAGCAGAAAAATAAACTGGTCTACAAGTGCAGAAGCTGTTCTGCTAACAAGGACCAAAGTCCATTGCCTTGTTACGAATACAAGACAGTTCTGCTATCCGGGAAAATTTTTGCAAAATCTCACCTCTCCTCTTAAAACTTCTTCTTCTCTTGTTAGCCCCCATTCTTCATCCCACGCACGTGGAACAGAAAAAAAACGAAGAAAATCAATCCCCGCGGAAGTTTTTTTTTCAAAACGCAGGTACGACTCCCCACCAAATAATCAAATGGGGCCCTCCCGCTGGTGATCCCAGCGTACGACATGCTCTGAATGAGTAGAAGATGCATTGGTGTCTGTCATCTCATTGGTACGCACTAAATTGCCTTTCGCGGTCTAATCTCTCGTCAGACCGCCCAGTTTTCCTTGCTGTGGGCTCACAAATTGTCTAAAATCGACCCTCTCCCACTCTGACCGCCTTCTATAGAAACTGTGAGGATCAAAGACTCAGAATGCTCAGGGCAAATAATATAAACCCACCGCATTCATAGTTTCTTCCACTAAAAAATGGTTCATGAGAAATTCACGAATCTCTTCTCGGTGCTTGGGTTCGGCTGTTGAATAGTGCAGGATGTCCATATTTTCCTGAAGAAAAAAACCATAAAGCTTTCAACGCACTTTCGTAATAAGTGCAAGTATGCATACATAAATGGCTGTCCCTTATCATTCATGTGCACAAAATGGGAAGCTTCGGGATAACCGGTTTTAGAGGATAGAGAGTTTTTCGTACGATAATTTGGTACTAGGTCTAAAGTGCTAGCAGGGTGCTATAGCAGGAAAATTGCGAAAAACGAAGAACGATGAAAAACCTGCGATGGAAAGCCTTCGTTCTTAATGACCAAGAAAGCAATTTCGGACGAGTTTCCCGTAGGCATCTTGCCAATAACCGCTACGGTAGGTACGGCTGCACTGTATGTACTCATACATCCATGCAGCACACAGCCGCTTCATACCAGTTCGCTTCATATTTTACTTAGCAAATGAAGCAATACGAGCATCAGGTACGGTCGTCCATTTGTGGGCGGGCGGGCGCGGTGGGCGTCGTCGGTATGTTGCAGCTTGATGGGGCGCTATAAAGGCATCTTTCTCGGGAAAGGCGCCACGCATTCTGCTCAGGATCGCGGATTCCGTCCTGCCAGGCGCTTTAACCCTAATCATCTTAGGGACATGGCCAATTGTCTCTGAACTAGATTTGCAAACTGCTTGCACATGCGGTTGCATGAGGCTTTATAGGCTGTAGCAGCTAGTATTAGCGCTGTAGAGCAATGCCTTGGTGCTTACGAGAATTAATTTACCGCTAAGCCACTATACAACCAATAAGGAATCTGCCGAATCTTTTACCTCCGACACATTGCCCTTCCACAAGCCAAATCAACATCTCTTACTGAGCTTCCTGGAAATTTATGCCGCTGACGAGGGGTGATTGGTTGCGAGGACCACTGCGCACAGACTACCAGAATACAGGCTTTCGTAGCGCCGCGATAGGCTAAAAAGGGAGGTCATTCAGGCGTGCCCGCTGTTTCGAAAACGGTTTATTCATTTGGGTAGGGCCTTGCCATGAACCATAAAAGTGGGCTTCGTTTTTGCTGTGCGGCTCCAGGAACGCCAAAAAAGGAGCGAAAGGTACGTCTATGTACCCCCATATGAGGGACGTTAAGCGCTATACTGGCGCCAAATTGCGTCGACGTCGAAAATAAGTGTCAAAATCGTAATCAGGACCATCGACTACCCTTATGGACGAACTTCTAGCCAAAAAAGTTTTTTCGATTTTTTGGGTTTTGGTGGACCATTTGGTCGGCAGTGGTGACCGGAGTATCCCATCTTCGTAAAGACGATGATGGAACGACGACGTAGCAGGCCGCCGGGCAGGACAGCAAACCTGGTGGAATGCCTCCCTTTCCTTCCTCTTTGCATGAATTTCATCGGCATTGTTACTTTTATCTTTGGATATTAATAAAATAGGGGTCCCTATGGCGAGGCACTGTAGACTTCTATGGAAAGACTGTCGGGCACAACCCAACGCACACACCCAAAAAAGTCGAAAAAATTTTTTTGGCTGAAAGATTGTTTACAGGGGTAATCGATGGCCCCGATCATGATTTTCATACTTATTTTCGGCGCCGACGTAACATGGCCCCTAGGGTAGCGTTACACATCCCTTACTTGTGTGTAGCAAACGCATTCATTGGGTGAAGCATGTCACTCCATATTAGCGATAAATGGCACCGTGGCTACAAATAAGTTCCATATTCGTGATTCGGGCATGGTCTGACCTATAAGGGTCAACTTTCAATTACGGTCTGGCTTAATGGTATGTAAAACCTGTAATAATTGAATAGCACTGATTCATGGAGTGTTCCCATTTAAAATGTGCCCATAAATGGCAGTTATCGAACGCATACTCACGCACAGACATATTTGAACGCGAAAACAGCAAAACATAAAAAATGCAAAAACTCGCACGCCGAGGGGAGTCGAACCATCAACCCCACCCCAACTGTCCGCTTGAGATTCCTTCACCTACTCCAACTAGGCCACACGACGTTGTCACTGAACATTTCCTCCCGATCGTTGAAGAAAACCAATTCCTAAAGCCGTTCCTTATCTTTGATCACGTGCGCCACAAGTAGACCCCACTACCTCGACTTCTTTTCTCTTCGATTCTGATTAGTACTTTATAAAGTCCTCCACTCAGCAACTGCGTAGCAAAAAAAAAAAAAGCAGAGTTTCAAGCGGTTTACAGCTCGTAGAGGCTCAAAAACACTCAGTTTCCATAGGTTTCTTTTCGCTCCTTTTTTGGCGTTCCTGGAGCCGCACAGCAAAAACGAAGCCCACTTTTATGGTTCATGGGCAAGGCCCACAGAGTGCCAATAAACTCGTTGTCGAATAAGCTGGCGGCACGCCCTGAACGACCTTCCTGCGTAAGAGGAACCCTGCTAAGGATAAACAAAACCCCTTTCTACCAAGGGAGTGAAAACGACCCCTTCCGCCTAGAGATCCCCTACGCACGAAGTGACCTGACATGCGCTTCTGGAACACTAGAAGCGTTGGACTCCATCCCAACGTGCGCGACAGTGAAGCTGGAGAAACGCGATATCTTATTCTTCATGCATTCGCTCGCGCTTCTGAAATGAAATAAACGATAGCAAGCCAGCGATCACAAGACGACCAAATATATGTGGGAGGGACGAAATAAAAAATAAAGTCTCTGCCTCGATCCCTTTGTGGGATGCGGCACGCATTCTACTTCCATTCATAATCGTAGTGGCTTATTGAATGAGATGTGGTCCGTACGATGACTCGAAGAGGCGCTATTCGGCGAAGGGAGGGGGGCATTTTATATTATCATTGCTCCTTAGTTCCGGTTTACAAGTCTCACTCTGGCGAAACCTGTGAACTCTGTGAAGCTGGAGAAGGTCTTCAAGCCGTCATGTTAGAACCTATAGCTGTCTAGATAGGTAGGCACGTCGATGGGAAGTAGCAAAAGTGCGAATGACCCCCCCCCAGCGTCGCCGAACTGCGCCACTCGAAGCTGCTAGCCGATGTACAAGATGTCCGATGTCCAGCGAGTATTTTCATCCTCCCGGACGAACCTGGTACCAATTTACTGTCCTCGAGGTATAGAAGGCTGGTTGGCTTGGGAACCGATTAAAATTGAAGTTGAACTCCGGTTATAACTTTCAAAGAGTTTGGAAAATGTTCAGCAGCAAGGTTTCGGAGATTTTCGGAACATTAAAGATGGATACTAAGACTAAGACTAGCTTCAGAGAGAACCCATGCCACCAACGGCGAGAAACTGCTTTGTTCCGAGAGATTATTCACTCCTCATAGCTCATCCGCAAACCAAAGGATGTATGAATTATTGAATACTAGGCTGGAGCTGAAGAGGGAACTCGATTGATTTTTGAGATGTAATTGAAAGGGGAGAAGAGGCTCTCGCGGGTAGGACCCACTAATATATTCATGAGAGAAATAGGCATTGATTTCCTGACGAAGCAAAGGAAAATTGTTCGTGAACTAGTGAGTCAGTCCGGGAAACGCTTCTCTATTGCGTATTTTACGGGAGTTACTCATCGTGTACGGCACGCTTTTTGAACTTTGATCAGAATCCCCGAAATTTCTGCCGATGTTGGACTTGGCAGAAATTCCGATTTGACGAAGTGACACATCAGTTGACGGCAGTGACATATCATGCACAGAAGAACTGCTAGGGCAGCGTTCAGACTGTAGCGATCGCCGCGCTACAGCTGTCGCGCCACAGCCGTCGCGCTACAGCTGTATCCAGCTTCCTTTTATATTTTTTTTCTTTCTGAATTTAAGCATCTTTCTCTTTGTTCGCCATATTTATCTGATGCTGAGCTCCTGTTTTTTTTACTTTACCACATTTTTTATCACATTTTTATATAGTTTTTGATACAGAGCACTATGATAATTGGTTTTATTTTCGTTTCCGACTCTATTTGGTTTTAGGGTTGCTACTGATGTTTGATTTCTTTGCTCGATGTCTTGCATTGGTGCCTCGTGTTGATAAATAAATAAAGATAAATATCAATATCAACAGATATCAGATAAATATGGCAAAGGACGTTGAATCAGAAAGAAAATATAAAAGGAAAGTTGCAGCGCTACAGTCTGACGCGTGCCTTACCACCTGAGCACGGTGCACGCTGGAGACTCCCCAGAGGTATCTTGCATTTGGTCGCTGGAAGGACGTGGGAGTGGTCATGTTCGGTCTAAGAGGAATTTTCTCGCTACTTCAATTTCCCTCTGTTTGACGCGCGCTCTCCACAACGTTAGAAGACTCCCACTGGGCGGGAGGGGAGAATCGGATTTCCTCGTCGCTTCGAAAGGGGAGGGGAGTTGTGTATCTATCGACTTCTGGGAGTTCTTCACATTTAAGATGTGCTATATACCCTCCTTTTTGGCGCCCCAGTCAGAGTTCAAGAAAACGACTTGTGTAGGCGACCCAGTCTACTCTTCAGAACCATAGTAGCAATCGATGTCGTCTTTATAACGATTCGCGGGGTGTCAGTGTCCCTAGTCTCCCAGATAGATGTGGAAACAATGAGCCGATCCCAGGAGGATGAAGGCTTAAGCCCGAGGGAGTGTCTGCCCTATGCGTGACTGGGATAAAGCCGCCTTCATGATTTCGAGAAACTCCCAAATGGCGCGACTGTGGCTGACACGCTACCCACCGCCAATCATCGGACCGCAACTGATAATTCAGTAGTATTCAAACTAGAATCTCGATTGTTGCAACAGTCTGAAGGATTAGATAAGCGGCTGGCATCAGTCGCTTAGTTCTGAAAATGCGCGATTGAATCGCCCGACTCGCGAAGTATGCACGCGGCCTCAGCCGATTATTTCCCTCTACACCACCTTCGCTTGAGACATAAAAACAGCAATTTGTGTATTGGCTTGCCTCCCAAGTCGGTGACTACGGTGACGGTGACATCTGAACTATTGAGCTGCCCCGGCTCTGGACTGGAAGCGGTTGCGTGGGGCACCTTGGAGACGGTCCATTTTCACAAGTATTGTATCCTTCAGAACGAGGAAGTCGTCTTTCCGTCTCCTTTTCG